AGACTTTCCTAGTTAGTGAGTACTGATTCGATTAGGCTAGATTTTCCTAATTAGTAAGTACTGATTCGAGTAAACCAGACTTTCCTAGTTAGTGAGTACTGATTCGATTAGACTAGACTTTCCTGGCTAGAGACTAACGATTCGGTTAGGCTAGGCTTTCCTGGCTAGAGAGTACTGATTCAATCAGAGTAGACTTTCCGAGTTATAGGGTGTCGATTTCGAGAGAGCATATTTCCTGGTTAGAGAGTATCGATTTCGTCAGAGTAGACTTCTGGGCTATAGAGTATCTGTGCTGTGAAGTGGATATCTCGATTCGATCCTGAACAGTTTTCAGATTAGTAAGTTAGTTCACCACTCTGAACAACTAAGAAATAATCGGAGTTTTCTACATTCAAGTTATGACAAGACACAGTTACTGTTATTAAATAATGTCAATGGCTCTCCTGGTCAAATGTTTATGCAAAACAAGTGTCAGGTGACCTGACGTGCAAGTGTCTACTATTGGAGTCCATGCCCACAAATACAGAGTCGCAGTCCAATAAATGACCAGGTAAGGTATACGATCATCTCAGACACTAGTTGATGTGATGACAACGTCGCAAGGAGCATGTTAATATCAAAATGTCTCAATTTTCCGAAGATGAATTTTAACAGTGGTTTTACTTAACTTTGACTTACTTGGACAGTTTATGGAGGTGAAAAAGAATTTAATGTGATTATGTTATTTCAGAGATGCATTTTGAAAGTAACACGATAACGGCTATCAAAGTCTGGGGAAAAATATATTTACTCAGTCGAGTTGTAAGAAAGAAAAGAACGAACAACACAAAAAAAAATGCAATCTTTTGGTGGTTTATGAAATTTTTGAAGCTGAGTACTATACTTTTTGTTTTTCACAAGTATTCTTTATTTATTATTACAGAAGTAACTGAAATATAAAAAATAAATATTTTAGGGTTAGATAAGGTTAGATTAGGTAAGGTAATGAAAACAAAATTATTCACGATGTATATACTCTCGAGCAGCTCGTGCGTTACGTAAATTCGATACCGTAACATGAGCTGCAAGTTTCCTGAGTGATTTATCACCTTTTGTAGCGGGATTATTAGTTAGACTCGTTTCAAAGGGCAATAAAAATAAAATTAAGTATAAACAGATGCATACTGTTACGAGTTATAGTATGGAAACTCTGATGGTTACACCGACTGAGTCTGTAGCAAGAGGGTTCATTCCCTCCATCAGTGTACTACTTTGTTTCATTGCTCTTGCCACCGTAAATATTTATTGCATCTTCTACTGAACTTTTCTTTTCTGAGAAGCTTACAGTATACTAAAAGGTAGCGGGATGGTTTTGGTCCATCCTGAAAATTAGTGGGATGGCATCCTGCCCCACTTCAAGCCCACCTCCTGCCTAATCTTAATAACAGTTATTTTCAGTAACACGTCAACACCTGATATCTTATACCTTTCATAAAATTTAATTGTTTAAAAAAGAATTTGTACACAAGACGTTGGAACACAATCCGCTACGTGTCTCTTTGTTTTTGATTAAATGCATTGGGCTATTATCGTGAAAATGAATTTTCCGTTCAGTATAGCTCGAAAAGGCATTGTATAAGCACGTTTTTTATAAAAAGCAATCTGAGTGGTGCGGGTTCGAATCTCGTCACGGAAAATGCTCTCTCTTTCAGCCGTGGAGGCATGATAGTGTGACGGTGAGTCCCACTTTTCGTTGGTAAAAGAGCAGCCCAAAAATGGGCAATGGATGGTGCTGACGGAAGAGACACCTCCTGTTGATAAATAATAACATACCATAAGTTAAATCAGCTGAAGGAAGAGACACCTGCTGTTGATAAATAATAACATACCATAAGTTTGAAACGTCTTCATTAACACTTCAATGTTACTAGAGCTTTCTTTTGTTTCCCGCCAGATATCTAAAGAACGATTTACCTTTTATTAATCCTGAAAAGATCGCCATCTGGGGTTGGTCGTACGGAGGTTACGCAGCAGCAACGGCCTTAGCAACAGACAACGATGTTTTCAAGTGTGGCATATCCGTCGCTCCCATTTCCAGTTGGCGATATTATGGTAAGATTTATAATTTGTTTGGTCTTTCCTCTTTTATTTTCAGTAAATTAATTCTTGCCCATTGTGTGTTTTTTATAAACTGCAGTAAAAGGTCTTGCTCAAGGTTTCTGAAGAGAAACGAAATTCTCTGAAACAGTCCAACTCAGGGTCATGTAGAAAACCTAAGCTGAGCTGTACTTTTCTTTCTTTTTTGTTGTTGCTAAAATTGAAAAAAATTAGGACTGAAATAGTAATGTTATGGGTCTTTATGGTTTCCAAGACATAGAAGCATCATCCACGTTCTGTAAATGTCATTTGATTGACATACATCAGATAAGGCCTTAAATAGCAAGCTGCAGCGTCTAGAACTTCACAGTTCCTGCAGTAAATGTGTATTACTTAAATTGGAAAAGGTAGGCTGGGCGTGGCCCAACGATTAATGTACAAGAATGTGTATCCTAGTCTATGGTACCCATACTGTTACTGCAAAATCGCGCTTTTGGGGCTCTGTGTGCGTTATAAGAGTGGCAATGAAATTCTACTATTCGCCCACCACGGATATCGAAACCCGGTTTCTAGCGTTGTAAGTCCGCAGATATACCGATATATTTCGAATACTACAGAATTCACGACGTTTGAAAGTGGGGTACCAAAATTATTTTAATTTTAATTTATTTCGGACATTCGCGCAAAGCTACCTTAATTTGAAATGATATATTGGAGGGAAAGAAGAATAGTTAACAGCACCCACAGCCAACTCTTGAGCTACTCTATTCAGTAGCACAGACAGTCCATTATGTAGCTTTGTGCTTAATTACAAACAAATCAAAATGTGAGATTATAAGTAGGGATGTCAGGGATTAATCACTTTCATTCAATAATTGTGAAATCACAGTGTGTTAGGATGAACATTTGGTTTTTAAATTAAGTTAATTACATTGTTAATATGAAAATTTAAACCCACCCTGAAATATCTAATGACGTACCTCTGATCGATTTAAATTTTATTATAATTAAAAGGTTATACTGAAGAGACTAGAAAAACTTGGACCAACATTTTCCCTTGACTGGCTCTATCATAGTTACACAAAATATTTAATCAATTACACAAAATAATTAATTAATTACACGAAATAATTAATTCCAGATTCCGCTTTTACTGAACGGTACATGCAGTTTCCGTCACCTGAAGAGAACTACTTGGCCTATGAAAAGTCCAGTTTACTGAAGAAAGCAGCAAACATCAAAGGAAAGAAGTTCCTTCTAATTCATGGCACAAACGATGGTAAGCAAGTTGCATCAGTATTTGTTATGTATAATACCGGATAAAGTCTTTATCATATGTTAAGTACAGAATGTTATTAAAGTAACTAAAAAGTATTGGCTGATTTCAGTTTTCTAAAAAGATTTCATTTGTTTTAGTACAATTAACATTATATTCGTAGAGACTATATTTCACGTGGATGAATAGAATTATATAAAATGGTTTTGAGGGGTTTCGCGTGTCATACGTATGCTAATTCAAGTAATTTGTTTATTCTACTTCATTAACTCTGCCTTTCAGACAAAGTTCACCTTCAGCAATCCATGATTCTAATGAAAGCTCTTACTGATGCAGGTGTTCTCTTTCAAACGCAAGTAAGTCAAAATCATATATTTGTGAGGAAGATATTTAATTGATAACTTTGGCTTAAGTTTCAACTTCGATCGTCTTTGTGTTGTTGTTTTTTGTATTAACCCTAAGAAAAAACATGCTGGGAAACTTAGAAGTATTAAAAAATGTGGCCCTTAAGGCTTTCTGAATAAGGTTTTTCTTACTAAAGAAAATCACCTATAAAAAAATCCTTTTGATTTTCCAACAAAGCCTAAATTTCTTTATTACACTAGAAAATTGTTCCCTTCTTACAAGCGAGGGCGCTAGTTTTGTAACACACCTGTTTGAAAGCAGTATTCAACCGAATCGGACAATATTTTTCGATATCGACTTTTAATGGCAAAGAAAAGGAACAGTACATCAATCAACCAAAACCAGTAACGTACCGCAACATTTTACATATTATACCAACCAATTAAAGCCGATAACTCGTAACGTACGGTAACATTTTAAACGGTACATCAAACAATCAAACCAATAATTCCTACCAGACACGCTTACTATATACAATTCTTTGATTAGTGAGTACAATATTAAATTATTTATGACTATATAATACAGGATAATCAATCTGAGAATATTTGGTTAAGCCTAATTTCATTTTGTCTGACAGTATCTGTTTTCTATTTTCAGAATGGTCTATTATGTTATTCTCTTTATAAACTTTTCGAAATGTTTTACGACTTGGTTAGTTGTTATTAAGAATGCACACCTGAAACCCATAGTAATTATCGTTTTCATTATAGGCTGAAATATTTCTAGGCTTAAATGCACAGTTATCCTGAAATCCGATATTTTTATTGGTGGATGTTTTTAAACTAAGGAGATTCTAATATGTAATACTTATACTCAAGAGTGTGTGTTTTTTTAACTGTTAACTATCATTTGTTTCCAGATTTATCCAGATGAAAGCCACGATCTGGAACACGTATCCTTGCATTTTTATCAAACAATGGAAGCTTTCCTGGACCAGTGTTTCGATATTCCTCGCAAGGATATAGGGCTCCAAAAAACAAGCAAAAAAGTATTTATAGGAGGAAGATAGTGGCCAGTAAAACCTTCACTCCATTTCTTTAAAAAATTATCTATTTTGTGTTATTTTTATTCATTCCTTTTTCTTTCTTTTTTTTTACGTCTGGTTGAGAAGTAGATTTTTTGACATAAAAATCGAGCTCCAGGGTGGCTAAATATCAATAGGACATTTCCTGGCAGTAGTTTACATCTGGTTGACACAGTGTAAATAGAAACGTAAGAGAGAGAAAGAAATTGGCCACTTGAAAGAAAGATATATATATATCATCATTGGAATTACTGCTACCATAGTTCCTGCACTGTCTGAAAACAGAACAAAAAAACATCAGGGTCCTGTTACATTAGGGCCATCTTGTACTTTAAGCCTTAAACTATAGGGATTTATTAGATAATACGTTATGTGATACCTATTCTGACAAGGCACTTTGGTATTCTTGTTTAAGATAGTTAGTAGGTATCAGGATACTGATGTGCCAAACAGAACTACAGTTAAAACTATTTAGAACAAAAGAATAGTTTCTTATTACTAACAGTAGAAAAATAGAACCTTCAATTATTTCCTCAGTAATTATTCAAATAAGAATTAACAATCTTTAAAAAAAAATACCTTAGCGGGTTTCTTCCATTGCACTTCTATCATTTTGCAAGAAAATTGTGGTGTTGGTAGTCAAGTAATGCCCTGTGAACGGGTCACCTCAAGGGGTGAATTGTAACATTTATTTTAAGCGCTCGAAATGAATTCCAGTCTCCTCTGATTTTTCCATTGCTACTTATTAGAATTCCTACACTGTATCGCTTTTAAATACATTTTAGGGTAACTTAAATGAGACAGCAGTTATGCAATACATGCTGTACTTTACTAAGATTTTCGTCATTTGATGACGAAAATGTTTTATAATAATTGTACAATTCTTGAATAGCATCTCGCTGTTGTTATGTCAGTACGTTTAACATAACATTGCAGTTAAAGTAAACGTTACAGTTACTTAATGGTGTTCAGAAGGCCTTTATTTCTCTTATTCACCGCTAGATGGATGCATATCTCAGCCGTGTTCACGTTAATCTAACCAGCCGTTAATCGCGATGTAAGAAATGCAATCATTTCTATTGCCATTAACGTTACCGCGGGAAATATTTCTGTAGCAGTAAACAGATACGTTATTTTTCAGTGTTGGTCAACAACATATGTTATTTCGTAATTGACTTTCGGACGATTAGCTTACTTTGACGAATTGCCTGAATAATTACGATCTTGTATATATTTTTTATTTGTATTATGCGATGTTTTAAACAATGTATTGTTAACTAATGGTAATGCTTCAGTCAAGTGTAAAAACTTCACTCATCGGTCCATAAATATTATGAGTACACTCCAGACCCGTTTAATATTGTATATATATGTATACACATCTTCTACAACTGAGTACACACACTCGTTCCACAATTATCTGCACACACTCTCAGTCCATCAGTATTGTGTACATATTCCAGCCCCTAAGTAATATGTTTAGTATAAGTTTAGTTTAATATGGTCCATTATAATAGATCTGTACACACTTCCAGTCCATCGGTATCTTATACATAATCCAGCTCCTTAATAACGCGTTCAAAGTCTCGGTCCATTATAATAGATCTGTACACACTTCCAGTCCATCGGTATCTTATACATAATCCAGCTCCTTAATAATGCGTTCAAAGTCTCGGTCCATTATAATAGATCTGTACACACTTCCAGTCCATCAGTATTGTGTACAAAGTTCCAGCTCACTAATAACGTATTCATAATCTCTGTCCATCATCATACTCTTCTGTAAACACACACTCAGTCCATCAATATTGTGTATAAAGTCCCAGCTCACTAATAACGTATTCATAATATCTGGTCCATTATCATACTCTTCTGTTGTGTGTGTGTGTTTAACTTTGTACACAATACTGATGGACTGGGTGTGTGTTTACAGAAGAGTATGACAATGGACCGAGATTATGAATACGTTATTAGTGAGCTGGAACTTTGTACACAATATTGATGGACTGTGTGTGTGTGTGTTTACAGAAGAGTATGACAATGGACCGAGATTATGAATACGTTATTAGTGAGCTGGAACTTTGTACACAATATTGATGGACTGCCAGCTCACTAATAACGTATTCATAATATCGGTCCATTATCATACTCTTCTGTAAACACACACCCAGTCCATCAGTATTGTGTACAAAGTTCCAGCTCACTAATAACGTATTCATAATCTCGGTCCATTATCATATTCTTCTGTAAATACACACCCAGTCCATCAGGAGTAAAGTTTCAGTCCTTAGACGTCATTTTCACAGTCTTGATTTACTAATTAATTAGCTACAGTCCACTAATAATTTATGTGATCCATAAATACCAGGTGAATGAGCTCCTTCCGCTAATATTTCAAGTAAAATCTAATGTTAAATTCCATAAAAGGATACAAAAGCGTTTTAAAGACAAAGTACAACGTGTCTTCAAGTCTCTACAGTAAATCCAGTCGTGTTCGTGTTTTTTGAAACAAAAATATTGATGTCTGACTCTTTATGGTTAAAATCAACCATTTTCATATTTAAAAATGCCATTCAAAATCCAGCACTGTCGTCATATTTAAATCCCTTGAAAAACAAACTTAAAGATGTTTATCGTCATAAACGGCGATATTCTTGTCTAAAAAAGTATATTATAAAACAGGCGTCTGTTTATGTTCATATTTCAGATTTTTGTCAATGATTTGTCTGAATTTTGAAGACAAAGTCAACTATATTTTCTCCATTTTTCAGCAGAATGTCACGAAAACTTATAACAGGCTTTTTCAAACTTAAGACGTCTTCATGTTTAAAGCCCAACTTTTCTAACATCGGATTATTTAAAAATAAAGATAATAAGCTTTCAGAGTTTATCGTCTGGCACTTAGTACGATGTTAATCGAAGAGGTAGAAAGGATTTAGGGTGAACTGATAATCAACTGTTCAAGGAACGATTCAAAATGGCGGAACATACAAAATGTAAATCTAAAGTTTCTTGCTGAAGAATGACTTGATTGATGTGTTGTGATTATTTTAATATGCACCTTTTTATATTTTGCTTATTTGACCTAATTATAATGACCTTAAGATGTCATTTTGCGTTTAATATTTAGTTTCAAGTTATATTTTACTCAGAGTACGTTTTATAAAGGGGTGTTTGTAAGTTTCACCTAAATGCTCATAGGAGGTGCCTTCGTGAGTCTTGTTTCGTTTAAGGCAGATGTACAACCAGGTGTGTTAAAAAGGTGTCATGTGTTGATACTCATCACGCTGTATTATATTCATTTATCGAACCTCTTTAAAACTGTGACATAGTTTGTTTTGTTGTAAAATCACTGGGGAACAAACTTCATTTTTATATCAAATTTTAATTATTACCATTTTACAAAGGGTGTATTTTATCAGAGGGTGATTTGATTGACAGCTGGTTTCGAACATTTTTATCAACGTTTCTATGGTTCTTATTTTTCGTTCCTTATTTAAAATTGTCAAAAAACTTGATGTGACTAGTCTGTACCGGTGTCTTGTAACCTAGATTTTTATCAGAGACTTAGCATGTTACTAACTATGACCTGATCTTACTGTAACGTAGGTTTGTATCAGATACTTAGCATGTTATTAACTATGACCTGAAATCGCTTAACATAACGCTTTCGACTTAACTGAAATAATTCGAACCTAAGATATAAGATTAGTTAGTTTTTTTGTTTTTTTTAATCTTTTGACCGTTTACTTAAATTAAAACCAAGGGTCAGAATAACAAAATATATGACGATCAGAGAAGATTGGGGGATTTTCTCTGAGCTATGGATATATAAAAGTAATCACTAAATTGAAGATAAAATATTTTTTAATTGTAATAGAGCTTTGTTCTTTGCGTGACATTAGTTGAAAAATAAATAAATAGACAAACTTATTGTGTATTGGGCTAAAATACAAACTAACCTTCGTGGAGACTAGGCCTAACCAATATAATGGAGCTGGGAGTCGAACTGCTATTAAAATTTATACTCGAATAATGTCAACACGAGTTTGATTCGATTCATACAACTATACGAATTTCATAAACAGTTTGAAAATACTTGTCCTTATCGTAAATTTGTTTTTTCAAGTTCTGTGAACAGAAGACATTTCCAAATTAGGATCAGAATGAGTTCTTAACTATAACATCTGTTTGATCATATTATACTTTAATGAACATAAAGTAAGTCTTTCTTCGTTATACAATTAACGTTTGAAACGCATAGTGTGGGAATATCCCATAGCCGTCGGAATATGGGAGTAGAAACCATTTCCTTCCATAACTCTGACATATCTAAGATTTCCCCAAATTGCAATCAATGTTTGATTCCAAAATAACGACTACTATAATAAGAAAAAATTTTTTAATTGAATTTGGTAGCTAAAAATAAAGATAAAAGAAGTTAAAGTGAAAAATAAGAGGTCGTATAAGATGGTCGTTAAACAACTTATTTTCACGTTATTTCGAATGTTTTTTTCTTTCTGATTTCGATCATTTCTTGAGTCCCACTCAAATTCACACCGTTTTTAGAACTAGACTGTTTCAAGGGACGTTATCCTCCAGATAATATATATACAAGTATGCCCCCCCCCTCGTGACTTTCTTCAACAGGCGTACCTCTGACAAGTCTGACTTGCTTCCAATCCCCCTCCCCCAGTTTGCTTCCGACTTCATTCTACACTGTGAAAGAACAAATGAACGCTTTAGAGTCAAAACTTCATCGCTCGGGGGAGAGGGAAGGGGTTATACAAAAGCTTGCATAAATAAGGTATAATATCGATAAAGGCATTCTGCTTGAATCGATTATCTACAGCACGTAAATGGCAGATTGAAACTTTTGATTAGAGTTTAAGAAACAAATAAGGCTTGTAAGTGAAACCAACTTTAACTGGACTGGATTATCTAAGAATAGGCGTAACACGTCAATACCAATGACAGTGTAGCACAGTCATGTAACCTCAATACCATCAACAGTGCAGTGCAGTTATGTAACCTCAATACCCTGAACAGTGTAGCACAGTCATGCAACCTCAATACTTACGATAGTGTAGCACAGTTATTTAACCCAATACCATCATCAATGTAACATAGCATAAAATTTTAAGGTTATTTACAATTTAAATAATGAATGCAAACTTATGTTTAACGAAACACTAGTACTCAATCAGAACCAGTCTTTATTCAAGCCATTAAATAAAAGCTTAAATTCATAGAAACTGATCGTCTTCTCTCTGTATATGTATGTGTGTGTGTGCCTATGTAGGAACAATAAAATTTTGAAATAACTACTTATATTAAAAAACGCCTTTAAGTTGGTTGCAGAATGAGTCCACTTACTTACATAAAGTGTATATATGTAAATAAGGTGAAGAGTGCATTGTGGTTTACCGTGTTTTCTCTAGCTGTTTGTTTCAAATATAATGTTTCACCCATGTATGCAATAATTGAGACAACCTTCTGTTATCAGATTACATAAACGTTCTTTAGTTGTCAAGAACAAACGCTGTTTAATGTTTAACATAAACATAAAATTAACTGTAAGTGAAGCTATCTTCTGACTGACGGCATTTAACGTAAACTTTCAGTCTCAGAATTTACGTGAATTACCAACATAGCGACGGACGTGCCCTCTATGTAAGTGATGAAATCCTCAACAAATTTTTGTTTTTATATTTTGCAGTATGTATTGTTACTAGATGGATTACTTACTACAAAATTGTCCAAAGAACGTTTCGTTTTTTCACTTGGTCTTTTATTCTATCAAGTAAAAAATTGGTAAAAGTTAATGATATTTCGTTGCA